TCACCTGATTCACACAAATCACCCACCATGTCAACATGGAAACGTTCCCAATGACCCCAAAACGCCCCTTCTGCGCCTGCCGTTGGGCCAAAAGCTCCTTGGAGTGGGGCCTTGACATTCAACGGGTATTCCGCGGGATCCGTGTGGTTGAACATGCCAGGATGCAGCCGCGAGGTCGTTTTCAATGTGTTCTTCCCAAATCATTCGGAGACCCACAATACACCACTTAAGAGCGGGAAACTCATTCATTCCAAGTCCAATACAGTTGAACCCGTTTCTGAAATAGAAACAAACGCATCCTCCTTTGTATCAAAAGCACCCGTCTGAAGGTTTATAGGTTGAGAAAACACCACATCGAGACCCATTCGCAAAGGGCCGTTTGATAGACGAGGCTAAATGCAGGTTTTGGGAGACACAACGCATCAAAACACGTGTTTGGGCAGGTTGAGACCCCCCATCTTAAATCGGCAACGTTTTAGATAAATTATCAACGGATGTGCTTCCATATAGATTTATGAACAGTCAAATAAGTAAGTTCAGATCAATCAAATGATTGCTTCCAAAACACCCTGGTGTCGCGGTGGCAGCTGAAACTGACCTCATGGACTCCGGACTCCTCAGGCCCGGATTCATTTTCTTGGGGAAAGACATCAACAAGGATATATAAGGATATAACTCCATCCAACAAAGACTCCCAAAACATAGTTCCCACCAAGCCAGCACCTATCCAAACTTCGAACATCATTGAAACACAAATCATCATTAGTAAGATTTTTGAAGTGGGATTCAGCACCGCAGCACCCTCCCAGAGTTTCGAGGGCACCTCGTCTGTGCCACTGGCCTTGCGCCACGGTACAGCCAGCTACTAGTTGCTCAAGCGAGTTGGTGGAGCCGGAGCTCTATGGGATTTCGCACGTTTGCGAAGCCTCCAAGCCTCAACAAAATTGAGCGAACATTGTAATATTATATAAATATATATTTATATCATTCGGTTTTGATTCGAGCAGTCGAAAGATCAAGCGTTGAAAACGAACAGGTAATTGCTATTTACTTCGAGCCATCCCCCCCAGGTGGAAGAAGGCAGGGCACATGTATTGACAAACCATCCTGACAAACGCTGTCTGGCACGATCATTGACACAATGTTCTGGCACTTGTTCTGGCATCAGGTCTCGTATGTGCTCTGACATGTTCTGACATATCATCTATCATACAGGCTGGGGAATGTTTTGGACTGTGTTCGGAGGTCCTTTGTGGCGTGTGTTCTGGCATGTTCTGACTGACATGCCTTCCAACATGTACTTCTGACTTTTGCTCCCGCACCAATCTGGCATGTGCTCTGACATGTTGTGACATCTGGCATATGGTCCGACTTGGGTCTGATATATGTTCTTGTTCTGCCATCAAACTCATCAAAGATATCAAAGCCGCTACTTGTTCCGACATATGTTTTGACATATGATTTGGCGTTCTACGTGGCATTCATACCGGCACTTTTCTGGCATACATTCTGGCATCATTTCCCTTTCCGACATTCTACCCGCCATATCCTCTGAAACTGGCATATCTTCTGACATCCTTTCAGGCGCTCTATCTAGCATATCCGCTCTGGCTTTCTTTCCGTCATATCTTCCGGAGTTCTATCTGGCATATCTTCTGAGATTTTGAATGGGATATCGATGGATCTCGGGATATCTTCTGACATCCTTTCTGATCTTTCTGGCATTCTACCTGGCATATCTTCTGACATCCTGGCTGCAAGTTCTATCTGGCATGTGAACCAGCATTCTATCTGGAAGGGCATGTGTTCGGGTACGTGTGTGCCCAGACTGCGCTGGCGCTCTCTAAGATGTGTGGGTCAGACTGAGCCGGCACTCGCGGTGATGTCACGATGCGGAGGCAGTAGTAAGCAGGGAGGCGGAGGATTAAGGAAGACGTGGCACCTTGGTTAAAATCATTTAGATACTATTAGTGACTAAAGTCCCTTACCTTCACCTGGCAGGTGGGAAAAACAACTAGGATAAAACCGTAAAAGTCAACGATAGGAAGAATAGCAACTAAAGAAAATGAAAACCAACACAAGTGAGAAGAAACGACGAGTGGGAAACGTCCTTCTCTCATTTTGTATGTAATTGTATGCATATTCCATAATTTAAACTATGTGCTTTGTATCTTTTATATGTTTACCTTGTTCATCCTTGCACTATTTCTTCCAGGCGTGTGACTGCTGGATCCCATCTGTTCGTGCTTCTTTTTTTGCGAGCTTGGCACAACTGCGCAACTGTGCAGGACCCAACGTGCTAATTATAGACATTAAACAACACCACTAACTTACAGTACCCAGCCAGTTAGAAGAAAGAAAGCCTTTCGGCCACATTCTGTAGCCCAACAGGACCCAAATGACCAGATCCAAGGGCCTTTCCCCAGGGAACGAAGGATGCTTCCAAAGAACGTTGAATCGGTAAGTAACAATGGATCTTTGCAATTGCCACATTGAGTGGTAGTGAGTTGGAACAACATGTGAGGGTCACCACGAATATATATATATATATATGTTTGTCGAAAACCACCCTTGCACCGTCCTTGGGCGAACCTTGTTCGCTTCTTGCGCCAACATAGAACATTCTATTGGGATGAGTTTTCGGTATGCGGCACAGCAGCATGGGAATCAACCTCAAAGGAATGTCTTGGCTTGGCAAGGCGAGTACTGTAATTACACTGGAATTGCTTGGCATGGTCAAATCCGTCCCCGGTAGACAAATCTCAGCTTGCCTCTCTGAGAGCAATCCCGAAGCAGCTGGCTCAAAGAAGTCGACATAGCCCATTGTGTTCTTTCATTGGAAATAGAACCGTAAGAACAAGTAGGATGCATGTAAGAACCATGAGTTGGTTTTGCATGGTTTTGCTTCCAGAATCCTTTCGGGCTCAAGGCATCCCTCTCCTTCCCGGCCAAGTCATCCCCCGACCCCCGCGACCTCGGCCGCTGAGAAGCCTGGCCCAAGTGCGGCGGATCCACCCAGTCTCCTCCACTCCCAAGGGAAAGATACTGGTGAAACCTTCTGCCGATGTCCTACGATTTCTGCCCTGAACCACTGTTCATGGCTGCCCCAGCATCCAAACACCCGGGAGACAGGAGCCGAACTGATCTGGTCCTTCACCGAACTGACCTGGAGCCTCCCGCCTCACCCCCTCTGGGCGCCTCCGGCCATTGGAAGCTTCCCGGTGCCTGGCACGGCGAACTCGCCGGTCTGCAGACGGCGCCCGAAGAAGCGAAACGCTCCATGGGAGCTGGGTGGATTGAACTGCTTGGCACGGCTTGGCGCGAACAAAGAAGACGCCTCTACGGGATCTATGTGTTTCTTAATCTCCAAAGCTTGGGAAGCAGTCGATAAGGCTGCGAAGCTGCCACTTTGTCACAAGCACATGCCAGCTTGGATTCGCGTGCGTTGTCACGAAACCCATTCGTGATTGATGTCCTTGTACGCTTCACACGATCGCCCTTTTGGTCGACTTTGGACCGATTGTTCCACAAAGGACACCGCTGGTCATTGAATTGCTCTGGCGCATGACTGGACACATCTGAATTCTAAGGCTGAAATCTAAACTATTACAGTATAATATATCTAGGGGGATGGGTCAATACCTGGAGCCTTCGATCATGCTGCGCGCATATTCGTTCTCACATGTACAGTAGCGTAGCTTCAGTTTTGTTTGTTGTGCAGGGTCATTTACCACATGCCCAGGGTACCCAGCCAAGCTGAAGGACCCTGGGGTGCGCGGAACCCAGGTTAGTCGCACTCGCATCGCCGGTAGGGACCTACCGGTCGGTCTGCTGGTGCCATGGCCCACAGATCCGCTGAATCCGTTGATGAAAATTGAGGGGACACCAACACAAACGCAGCGAAAAGGAAAACAGTCAACAGTCCATTGACGGGAATCGATGGAAGTAGTGGTCCGGAATCAGTTTTGATTCAGACCTCGAGGGCGTGAGGAGCTGAGCTGAGTTGGTTGTGTCATCTGCAAGCTCCGTACCAGTACCAGCAAAAAAAACAACATATATCAACATGTGTATTTATCCACATCTTTCAAGGTGGAGAAGAAAACAAACGACCATACCTTGCTAACTTGTCCCTTGACTGGCGCCATTGCTCTTTTGTGCTATCTTACAGGCATGCAGGGCAGAGGGCATATTCTTTGAATTTATCCTCTAGCAGATTGATCGGAACTGCCAAGAACACCTGCAAAAAAAGATCGACAATGTATAATATATATATATAATATCATAATATAAATAGTTCGCTCGAACATGATCGAAGTTTCCTCTTTCACACCCCTGGATTGGATTGAATTGAAGCCTCTTGGAGCCTCTTGATTGTTCGACATTTTTCAACCCTCTGTGCAAATTCAACCTCGACTCTGCATACAAAAAGCCACACACCCATGCACACACAAGTTGGCCAGTTGGCCCTTTCCAAGATTTCACTGATGGGCGTGTCCTTCATGGAATGGGAGACAATTAATGAATGGGTTAGCAGCATAGCGGCGGCCTAGAATTTCCGTACATCAAAAGGACCTATTGAGCGCCTTCATACGAATAGAGTCCCGTCTGGAGTGCTATCGGAATCTCAATTACGAGCCCAGTCCCTTGAATAGCAACCGAAATTGCAGAGTGGAATGAGCATTTTCCGACATGACAGTGGTTCAAAAGTGGGAACCTTGGTTGACCACCCCAAAGGAACAAAAGAGCCACCCAAAATCTGCCAAACATGGTCAACCTACATGGTTCTGCCGGTCCAGGTTTTGACCCATACCCACATATCAAGTGTTTGTTATGACATCTGTTTTCATCCAGAGGCCATACTGTATCACGGCCACACACCCAAACTGGCATGAGGCAAGCGGTCGCCTGAAAGATGTTGACCACCATTTCCCATCAACGCATCGTGGATTTTGTGCTACCACCAAATCAAACCTTCAAATCTCTGTTGCATATCGGTGGTCCTATATTTAGTGGTGTGTCTACACGCCGCAAGCTCTTCCCTTGCATGATGAAGCAAATCAACCCGCCGAGGATGACCTAGACTTGAACTGTGAGACCGCCGCGCGCAGAGCCGTCAAGATTTGATCCACACGTTCGTCGGTGGCCTGGGCGCGTTTATGGCATAAAGGCAAAACGCCGGCAAAGCGAGAAGAGGGCGCCGACGTCCAGCTCCCTGACACTGACCCCCTCAAACCCTTGTGCACCCCTTTGCATGAATTTGCTGCATGTCTTTAGCCTTTCACATTCTTTCAGCGAGCGCTGAAGTGTACCTATTATATAACTGTAAGATTCCATCGCATTTAGTGATGCTGCGTTCACTGGGCGGCGCTGAGAGGTACAGCGAACTTCGTTTGTGGCGGATGGCCAGTCTTGCTTTGTGGCGACACTTCAAAAACTTACGATCCAAATGGGATTGTGAAACTCAATGTGATCTATAATGCCGTGGTACGAAAGACATCCAAAGACCACTGCACCCAGGTTGCCCTGGTGAAGTACGATGGGTGATGCTGGGTGGCACTAGGCACAAGTCAGAGAAAGTCTCGTTTCCTGGTTCAACCTGGTGTCCTGCGTGTTGACTTCCGGCACCGGCACTGTGAAACGAGCCCGGCGACAACCGCCTCCAGTTGATGTTGCAATGCCTCCTCCAGCGCCTCACTGTATGGCTGCAGGGGTGGTCACGGGTGGTGGCTACCCTTGGAGACATGAACACCACCATGTGATTGGGAAAAAAAGAACATGATTGCTATGTAGGGACCTGTGTGTATTAGTACATAAAACTTGCCATGTTGACTCCTTGATAGACTATCCTTGTCATGTAGGTGGGTCAACAGGGTCACAGTTTTTAGACCAACTGTCACATAGGTGACATATAGCCGGGCCTATAGCCTATAACGTCCTATAAGTTATAGTCTAGGACAAGGAACTCTTCAGCTATACTTGAGTTGTGTTTTTTTTGTGGTGTGGGGCTTATACACTGGGTCTGTACCTACGCGGGTGCCTACGCCTGGGCTCCCCTCTCAAGCAAATGCCTACGCGAGAGGTTCTCTTTGTTAGGTGCCTACGCGGGATGCCTACGCAGGGTGCTGTCACCAACTTTAGTCACATCAGGTGACTCGAAAAGAGCTATATAATCCGCAAGTAGTGGCCCGATGCGACCGGGTCACAGCAGGTTCCTGTTTACAAGGCGTTTACAGCTTTGCTACCGATGGCCAGATAGATTTTGTATCAAGCCGATCCAATTACAGTGTGGAAGCAGCAGCACATAAACAGCGCACAACAAGCAGAAAACAAGAGGCAGCAGCAGCAGCAGCAGCCAAGCAGCAGCAAAAGCAGCAGCAAAAGCAGCAGCCAAGCAGTAGCAGCAGCCAATAGCTTCTTGCCTACGCGCTGCTTCCGCGAGCGCCTACGCGGGGCCTACGCGAAAATAGGTCCATTGATTATGGTACCAACAGGGTGCGCACAGTTGTAGCTCAAGAGCCGGTGTGCCAGACCAAGCACGATCAAGCTTTTGACCTCAAAAACCAATGTGCCCCCATAGCTTCGACAAACAAACTTCAAACATCCACTGTAGCCATGTCGTTACAATTCATTTTCATTTTCCTTCCCCACTGGAATTTGCAAGCAAGTGTCAAGTTAAACAACTACAAGATTATCTTTCCCCAAGACCCTTGAACAACTTTTAAAGAAGTCTGAATAAGAAAATTCAGGCTTTCATGAAAAGGGTGCCTACGCAAGACTGCCTACGCAAATCTTTCAACACCCACCTACGCAAAATGCTTACACGACGCCTACGCCCCAAGCAGAACAGCCTCCGCGACTTCTCAACAGTTCCCTTTTTGTATAAACCTAATCATTTGCAAAAAAACGTGGCTCACTTGGTTTCGACCCCGTGGTTGTTAACGTCATCCCCAAAAATCCCCGAGTCCACTCAAGTCCCATCAACTCTCACGTCGACGCGAAGAAAGAACGGTGCATGGGGTGTGAGAAACCCGACCGGGCCGCGCTGGACCGCGATGGACCGCGTCGGCGCCTGGACGTTGCGTGTGAGCTCCATGCACTGCTGTGCCGTCCGCCGCAGCCGCGCCTCCGCCGCGGACGCGGCAAAGGCACTGGGACCGGCCGTGGGGCGGCTCCAGCGCTGTTGGGCGGCGGCGGCGTGTTGAAGATCGGAACCTGGGAGAGGCCAATGTCCATGGGGGTTGGGTCTGGTATGGTCTGTTCCAAAATGGCCGTGGAAAAACTAACATGAACTAACTATATATCCCTCGTAGATCATATGCATCTGCACCAACAGGATGAGACAGTGAGCGGGGCTTGGTTGTTGTGGTGGAACGGGCTTTGATGTGCGATGAGCCACCTATAAATTACAGTCTAGTTGAGTCCAGTCAGTCGGCATCACTTGTGGCAGGAACCAGGGGTTCTCTTGGGGTTCCGATGAGATTAGAAAAAAGGACTGTGGTCGAGCTGCAAAACATGCAGATCCTTGCATTGTAGAATATTGTAGATCCACGCACATTACTCTTTTCTGATCATTTTGTTTGTGCTTTGTATACCTCCTGCCGTGAAACCGGTCGTCGTCTTTTGCTTTCCGTGAAGTGCAAAAAGAAAGCCCTCAGTCTCGGGCAAAGCTTGGCCACTTCGACGGAGTAGTGTAGATAGGTCGTGGAGAATGCCTTAGTTCTCCATGCGCTTCATGCGGTTTCGCTACGTCGCACGGAGTCGCAACGAGTTGTGTGGATCGGTGACCGGGGGATGGGGTTGTTGGCGACGCAACCCAAAGATGGGCCTTAGGCCTTGTTCTTTCTGATCTGGGGAGGGCTACATGGAGGCGTCGGGTGGATGTCATTACGGAGTCTCCAAGTACTCACCAAAGAAACATGTACAACATTGTACAACGCAAATCAGCACCTGCAATTCTTGGTGTGTGTGTGTGTGTCCAGTCGTAGACTGGCGGAGTAAGGTGATGTCCTGTCCTGTTCCCCTGTCAGAATGGGATAATTTTGACGGGGATTGATGACCGCTCTGTGCCAAGATGATCCAAGCTCATCCCTTCCTGGTGTCCTGAGAGGTGCACACTCGATCCAGTCAACCGAAACCACACACTCGATGTGAATCCAAGGTATTCAACAATTCAGCCTGAAATGTGGCCTGAAGATCCTTGAATCCCGCGATTTTGGAGCACTCAAACGCTCCAACACATTCCTTAGAAAGAACGGCCAACTGCTCAGAGTCTTCCAGCCAACTGATGAATCCAGCAGTGCAGCTACTAAAGCAGCCCCGCTATGCCCACATCAGTACCACAAAACAGAAAATACATCAAATATACCAATATACCCATTGGTTGGGGATCTCCCTGTTTACCCAAATTACCCAATGTACTTCCAAATGAACCGAGACACCACCCAAATTACCCAATGTACTTCCTAACCCACCTAGTCGCTGCAGGTCTGCAAGCCAAACGGCTTCCGGTTCCAGATTCCGCCGGCAATCTCCCACCTGGATCCACTCCATCGGTGGATGGAGAGGGGGCGATTCCGGAAGTGATGGAAGAATGAAACAATCAACGATCTTCATCCTGCAGCCAATCGTCGGGATTGAACTACCTGGCTGGTCAGATTATATAACAATTCAAAATTAATTGAGGCCCGTTTATGCTCGTTTTCTCCGCGGCCTTCTGACGCTTGAAATAGGCGCGTCCGTCTCCCTGCACCACGAAGGCTCCATAGGCTTGGTCCTGGCAGTGTTTCTTGCACTCCGCCAGGTCAGCCTTCATGCCTGGGCGGTCGTTTTCTTTCGTCACCGAATTGGCCGAAACCGCTGCTTCTTTAGGCATGGCATTGACTCGAAATCATTTCATCGTTCACGACCCCAGCAAACGTCCGGGCGGCCTTCCGCGTCTTCGCCCGGGAAGCACGTCTGGCCCACGCAACGGACGAAGCCGTCCTGGCACGGATCTAATGCATAGCTTTGCTGACTGTCATGGATGATATCCTGAACCAGCTCCCTCAACCTTTAACTATAGACATCACAATGTATTTGTCGATGCAAGATGATGCTTCACTGGTGACCCACTGCCATATACCACTCTCCACGATGGGTGACCGGCTTGGGATTCAAGAATCTCTACGACTGGTCGCCTCATCAGATCCGTGTGTCCGGGATAATACATGCACTTGATGCCCCTAATTCTGAGTCGCTCTCTCAACACCACCTTCTTTGAACGTCCCGTGGCAAAGCTGCTACAAAGTCCACCACTTCGGATGGCTGGGATGTTTCCACAACTACATGGACCATCATGGACCATACTATGGACCATGCATATCCAGAGAAAGAACGACATAAAGAAAGACATAGAGGAAGAGATGATGTGGTCCGAAAACACCCCAGATCATCCACTTCCTCTTCCCCAGATCATCCACTTCCGGTGTCATCGCCTGCGAGCGGCGATCCGGTAGCAAGGCCAGCTGCCGGTCCCGTTGGGCAATCCTCGGCGGTCCCTCGTTGGGTCGAGGGCCCTGTGGAGAATCCCTCTGGGGGGGGTTGAGAAAAGAATGCATCTTTACTTACTACTAGGAACAAGAAGCTACTATAAGCTACTAGGGGCTCCTGGCCTTACTACTAGGAGCAAGGACGCTACTAGGGGCTCCTGGCCTTACTACTGGGAACAAGAAGCTACTAAGCGTAAAAAGGCACGGTCCCGTGGAGTGTTGGGAGACTGGTGAATCTTGAATCTTGAAGTTCTTCCATTTGGCACAGCCATCCCAACAAACCGAGGCACCTGCCACTGAAACAAGTCTGCTGCACGGAAACGATAAAGTGATCTTGTTTTTGACATAAGGAATCTCTGAGGGCGAAACTTCTCTCGTTCCCTGCTTTCGTCGCACATCCGTCTCTTGATTTGTGAGAAGATGTGAGAAGCAACACCTCAACCCTGATGTTCCGCTCCACGGGTTGGGACCTTAAATCATCCTCCAACTCCTCCTCCCCACCCGTCTCTCTCACCGGCCGCGTGGCTCACGGCGTGTGTGCTCCAGGCGCCGCCGCAGGCGCTCGGACTCGGAGACACGGCCGACCGGGCCATCCAACGGGCCAAACCACGGAACCTCAGCGCCGAGACCGGGGCGACCCGGTGGAGACGGGGCACGGTGGGTACCACGCAGGCCGTGCACGGGGGAACGGTGAGTGGTGGAATCGGTCGGAAAGGAGGAAACGGAGATGCGACGATTCTTTCTGAAAGCTAAGTCTTGAATTCTGTGGAAAACGTGGGTTGGACGTGCTCCCCATTCCAGCATGTGGGTGAGAGGTCTGGTCTTTCAGGAGAGTGACCAACAGAACCCTGAAAAGAAATGCCTGAGTGAGTGCTGAAAGGGCTCCAAGTATAGACCCTGTAGAAATTTCATGAAGTTTCTACACCTCGCAAGCTGTGCATTGCCCAAGATACTGGTTGCTGTCCTCTGTTCGCGCCAATATCGGTCCCCATTGCGGGCCGACGCTGAGATCAGCATGTCATGATGGTTGAATGGCGGCTGAGGAGTAGTTCTTCTGGAACATCCTGTAACAAGTCCTATGGCCGAATCACTCGGACATACAACTGGCCGGATCCATATCAAATGGCTAGTGATTTCATATAGTTCGATTATATATTCATCAAATATCAATCCTTAAGCTTAACAAGCTACAAGGTGGAGGCCATCGCTATTAGTTTGGAGGCCATCGCTACTAGTAACAAGAAGCTACTAGGGTGGAGGCTTTGCCAACTCGGCCGCATGTCGGCCGCGTAAGGAACCCGCGGTGAACGACTGGTCCACTGGTCGGTTGCAGTGACTGGGGTAAGGCATCATGTCACTGAGAAAGCATGTGCATGATTGCGGAAACACACATGGATATATGTATCAGTATTAGATGGGAAAATGGGAAGGTGTACATGTGTACATGTTTTGTATAACCGTTTTCCTGCAGGTTGATCTGCACTGATTCTTGTGGGTTCCCTAATAATTGAATTTATTCCCATATCTCCAATGCATACTGCATCATACTGCATACTCCTTCAGTGTCATGAGGACCGAACACAAATGCCCACGTCTTGAGCCAGCTTGAACCAGCCAAGCAAACCGCCGGAAACACGCACTGACCTGTTTCGAGACCCAGACTGCCGAGACCGCTTGGAACAGAACAGCCCCCGAGAATTCTCGGGGCTGTTTCCGGGGGAAAGCAAGAACCTTTCGCAGCATCTGTATCTGTCCAAGGATGCAATCTTCTATGTTCTTGGACCACCTATCGTATCGGTAAAGGGCCCCACTTTGAAGAATGTCATACAAATTTGATACACATGTTGTATCAAATTGTGCAGTCTCAGCGAAAGCAAGCACCTTGCAAGGCAACTCCAAGCCCTAGAGTCTTTCAGAACCGCTCACATGAATTGCATGCACGAATCGTATGAGGTAGGTTTCCCAGAAATGTACCTTCACTGGTCAAGGTCTATGGCAGCTGGTCGTGCGATTAACACACACACAACATTACACAACATGTTCTCAAGCGAGTAGTTGGACCTGAAGAGGAAGATTCGACGCGAAGGCGGACCGCCTGAGGAAGTTTGCCACCAGCAAAAGCTGTCCCTGGCCGGTGGACTCAGCATCTTCAGGGAGGTGTCCCAAACTCATTCTTTTGAAGGCCATTAAGAGACCACAACAAATGAATAAGTACAATATATGAACAAAGATCCGAACTAGAACCAGAACAAATCCTATTCCTATTTCAGAGCTTCTATGGGACAGAATCCAAAGCCACTCCGGTAATTAATTGTATGTCCAGGCAGCACAAGAGGCGACTCACAGGTCCGTCAGGAAGTAAGTTCTTCTTTGAACACATACGGTACGACGGAACATCCATGTTCAGAAATTGTGAAACATATTGAAGATGTTCATAGATGTTCTAGGTTTTCCAGCTGGTAGTTCTGTCCTAAAATCAACTGTTCATCAATCTCATCTATTGCATTCCCCTGCCTTTCCCTACTCTCCCGTCCCTCCTCTTCCCTTCGGTCGATGACTCGCCAAGCCTAAGCCGATGCTCTCAAGCAAAGCCTGGAAGCTCCCGCAGGCGGGCCCAGATCTTTGAGTGTCAGTGGACTGGATGTTCCAAACTGAACATAAAGGGGGTGACCAACACACCCACGCCCAACTTCAACTTCTTGAACTCTTCGAACCTCACCAAATTGCTAGCGGTCTTGGCGGTCTGAGCCGTGTTATCAGTGGGTGGCACCATTGCAATTGTCATAGTTATCTACCTTCCAAGAAACCTGCTTGCCTCTCGTGGCAAATTCTGAAGGACAAGAATCAAAAGTCATCCTTCTGGCAGTGTTCCTGCTTCTCAACAAAAGGGTATACGGTATAATCGACGAAACCTGGACTGTGACACATCATCTCCACGAAACCGGCCTTCCTTCGAGCCAACAGCGCTGCTGAGCGCCTAAGCGTCAGGTCGGCACAAATCCAACTTGGAAAAAGGGTACAACATGGTACAACCCACCCCCCTCCCACGAAAACTAATAATGGAAGTAGAAAATGACCCCTGCGAAGACTCTTCTCCTCTACCAACAGGGCCACTGGGTCTGTTCCACTTCCACGTTAGTAAGTCAAAGGTGCATTCTCCCAAAACAGCCCCTGCAAGGCGTTAGAAGCTGGGTTATTCTTGCTGCCAGTTGGCCGACATATTAGGAGTGTTAGGACATGTTAGGACTAAGGGGCGAGCGCTAGCCGCTGGCCACTAGTCTGTCCTCACATCAAGGATTTCAGGTGATGATCGAAAAGTCCAGAGTGGAGGCCGAACTCTAATCAAGCGGATACCCCCCCACCAAGACGTTCTATTGAAAATGGACTACCCCTAAAGACGCAAAAGAGTTCATGGTCTGCCGTTGAAGCCCATGTCCATAGAAGTTAGCCTTTGTGGTTCCTTGATGTTCCTCGGAAATCTCTGAGGCTGGATGTGTTCCTCGGACATCTGTGGCTTTGGCTTCGTGAAATCAAAATCGCTGACCTGGAGGCCTCGATCGACCTGATCGCGCACGACCCGACGCTTCAGCCGTGTTGACGACAGCCTAACTGTTGACCACCGACCATCCATGGGACTGGAAGAGTCACTCAACATGGGGGTCAAACATGGTATATGCATGTAACTAGTCCATGCATGGATGGTCTTGGGCATGTGATTCTAAGAACTTGGGAAGGGCTAGCTGGCTCCGTATGTATGACATCAGCCACAAGGCCACAAGCACTCCATGTCTAGCATTGCCTCCAGCCATGGCGGTCCCTGGAAAGATGGAAAGATCTTCAACAGCTGGTCTTTCAATGCAGGACCTTCCATACCCATTGGAAGGCCGGGAAACCTGCGAAACCAAAAAGCAAACCAAGCACTTACAAACCCAAAAAATACCCTACGAGTCCCCTCACCAAAAAACAACACATATAAATAGATACATAAAAAACATATACAGTATATATATATATTATATAAAAATATATATGAACTACCCCGTTCATGGACTGCCAGGTGGGGTAAATGACAATTGGAAGTTCTGGACGCCACAATTGGTCAGCTCTCGTGACCTCGGGGCTCACGACCGCCGAGTGCCCGCACTGCCCTGCTGGAGGTGCCACTGGGATGAGCACCTGTGGCCTGGGTGCATCTGAGATCCTGTGAGGATCTTCAACGGCCTATGCGTTGCGTCTAGAAGCAATGGCCTCCAACCTAGTAGGAATGCCTACCTAGGGCCTAGGTTGCATCTTCTTACATGGTCTTGCATGTCAGGATTTCGTGTTTGTCTTCCTTCTGTGTGTGATTTTTAGTGGTTCATGATCTACAATGATCTACGATGATTTGTTGCTGGTTGATCAATGGCCCCAACTTGGTACAGTATTTACGAATTATTTACGGTTATTTGTGATGATGTATGATGTATGGGTCAACCTGATGTATGGCGTTATTTGGACGATGCACATCGATGCACATTACTTAACACACCAGGGAAACGTTTCTATTGAAACAAACAAGCCAACCGATGTCGCTGTAATAAGTGGTGGATAGCAATAGAAGTCCTGCCCCTGGTGCTGACCGTATGTCCACTCCTTCTTCACACCAAACCAAGCGAAGCCAGGGGCTGTTCGCCCATCGCATGGGACCCCCCCACGTGGCTGGACTGCTCGGTGTCATCGCCTGCGGTCCCCTAGAAAAATGGTGGAAACGGATTCAAAAAAAAATATATATTAATTACTGTTATCATTATTAATATAATTAGTAGTAGTAGTAGTAGTAGTGGTATAGGTAGATAGGTAGATAGGTAGGTAAGTAGATAGATAGATAAATAGATTGATGGATAGGTATACTATATGGTACCTACCCCCCCAAAGCCCTGATTGGTTTGTTTCCAGTGGTATTTACAGTGAATTCTGCACATTCTGAGGACATTTTATGGTTGAAGTTTTAGATGGATTGCGGATGATTGCGGGGGTGCCTAATATATGGTACTCTCCCTCCAAGGAATGTAAATGCCAGTGTTTTAATGATATTTTGGGACCTTTTCCCAAATGCTTGTTTTGCACACTTTCCACATGGTGCATATAATGGGTATAGGAAGAACAAATAAATAAGGCTCCAGTACTTAGTCTAGTGGATTGTGGCTGGAGAAAAGTATGCTATAGTACGCATACTTTCTGGATTGAAGATTCTGCCAGGACTTTCGGTGGAATCTTCAATCTTCAAACCAGAAAGTACGCGTACTATGGCATACTTTTCCATCTCCAGTGCCCTGGGGAAACTTCCCTTGAATCTTGGGGTTCTGGAGGTCAGTCAGGGCTTGGATTCAATAAATTTCACCCATCTTGAATCCCAAAAGCTTTGCAAAGTTTCCTGAGGTCATTTGAAGCCTAAAGCTAGAAACAAAGAAACTGATAGAAACACAATATATAACATAAAATATGACATGTTGGTTAAAGCGTGTTCATTTACACACAATGTTGAGAAAAACTTTTCATATACGACTGACCCAATCAATCAAATATATTACAACAATACAGAATACTACCAACAAAAACGGACAGAATGGAAGGAACACAACTCTGACAAAAAGTAAGGAAGCGAAAGAGCAAAAACACAAAGGCATCAAACAAAAAGGTCTTACTGCCCATTGTGTGAACATCACGTACGACACAGTGGATGTCCAGTGGATCCCCGGATCGATCCCCCTTGCACTCATCAAGAGAATGCCAGAAAACAAACTCATCGAGAATTTGATTGAAATTAAGATGAACAAACAGTAAACGGTAAATACTTTGACAGCTATAGCTGTATTGCACATTCTATAGCTGTATTGCTTGTAAATGTTCTGAAATTTGGCCTTATCAATCGATACCACACATAAGGACTGAAGCACATAAACATAACAAGGCAAGTGAGTTACCTTTTAGGACTATCTAATGATCTAATGTTCAAGTGCTTCTGCACAATGATATTTGCTTCACAATATGCCGTGCAAACCCAAAACAGGTAGGT